GAACGCAAATCTTTTAATCATGCAGTGTGAATATGAGTACGGGAAATAAAGTCAATGCATGTAAAAAAAGTAACAATAAAGTTATCTAAGTAATTCTTATAATTCATTTCAAAAGTTACTGTTTATGCCATTTAGGAAATTTACAAATTTTATGCCATTTGGATTTTTTTTTGAAATTTATGCTTATTTGGGAAATAGTAAAGTTTTATGGCATTTGGGAATTATGCCATTTGAGACGTAATCCCCCAATCGTTTAACTTTCAAATTGTTTCATCCGCACATTATGCCAACCACTAACTCATCAAATCTGTACAAACGTTTCCTGAGCAAAGTAGTATATTTGGCTATCAAGTTTACGTCGCTGAAAAAAGGATTTGAGGACCTATTTACAGCTTTATTTTTTCTAGCTCCCAAATATAAAGTTACTACTTCAAAACATTCACTCTCTTGTTTATCAGTTATCTTTATAATTTACAACAAATTTTTCTGCCGTTTTGTGAGCCGACGCAAATTTCGAATTCATTAACAGCCAGAGGTGGATTTAGAGGAAGTGCAACATTCATTTTGGCTGACCGACTCTTAACTTTTCTAAAGGCGCCTTTGGCGACAAGATTTTTTTACGTTGAGGGGGAACATGCCCGAAAAAGCAATTTTTTGGTCAAAATCTTTCAAAAAACGTCGTAAAAGGTCCGACAAAAATCCGCCTCGCTCCCACGAGAAAATCTTTTATCCGCCCCTGTTAACAGCTATATGCCATGAGTCATCATAATTAGGTTTTCAACAAACTCAAACCATTTTTCAGGGTCAATTAAATCAATTTGAACAAACGCCAAAATAATACGATTGCGACAGATTGGATTTTTTGTTGAAGTCGTGAACTCCCACTTCAAGCACTAGAATGAAAACAACATAAAAATCGAAGTCCAATAAAGCTTTATTCTATCAAAAACTTCCTCAGTGACCTCCAAGGTCAGCCATTACTCAAAGCGGGATGAATAGATAACAACAATAACCACAACTAAAAAAAGTTTTTGCTAAGAACTCCAACAGAAGTTAGTTAGTAGACATTTATTTATCATTCGTAAATCAGAGCCCAAGTTTCAAGAAATAAAAAAACCTTTCATGACAACTCAACTTGTTGCTCGCCATATTGTCAGTCAATGCCAAACCACAAAAGCAATCGATCATTTGTCTGCAAAGAATGCTCTAGCTCAAAGCAAAATTAGTACAACTAAATAATATCAATCAGGAACAAAATCATAAATGAAAATTAAAACCGCCAAACACCAGAAAACGAAAAACAGCCACGCATCACTTCTTGCTATAGGGACAGATCATTATCTCAACATCATACTGAATCGTGGAATTATCCCAACGAGCATTATACGCGAATGGGTTGACAAAAACTGACTGAAACATACATATACACTTCTCAAAGAAGAAATTCTTTAGTTAGAGAATTTTTTTCGGGCGTTTTTTTTGTTTTTAAAGTTTTTTCTTTTTATATTTAAACCCGGGTACCAAAAAACGTCAGCTGCAGTCGAGTTCTATGTCAAATATCATAAGCATTCCCTTTCTTTCAGTCCTGTTAGATCGATATTAAAAATTTTGAAATAATTCTTGCAGCGTCGAGAAAAACCAATTTGAAGTTTTTAGACAGATTTAGAGTAATGGTAATTCCTCATTCTTTGTGATTATTTTGAGCTTGCTGAAGTTTTATCACTTTACCTTAAAAACCATTCATCGTTTTCTCCCAGCAAGTTTTTAATCCCCCATGAGCATAAAAAAGTGAAAAAAAAATTAAACTCACTTTATATGTTGAAAAAATTGTAGCCATTTTTTTTTGCAAAAATGAGTGTGGTCGGAATTTTCTGTGATACTTGCACAAAAACTGGAAAACTGGCTATTCTTGTTCCTTTCAAAATTAGACAGTTAATACTTTTTAGCTTAGTTGGGAATTGTTGGAGTATGCCTAATTATCTCTCTTCGTACTTCGAGCAATCAACTCATGCACATGACGAAATCTGGACTCAAAATTGAGTCAATGCCTATGAGCAAAATTTTCATAGATCAATCAATTGTTTCTCCTAATATCGCGGAACCTCAGGAACTTAAAACTTTCCCAACATTGGGAAAAACAACTGATTGCTCAATGATGATTTTGATTATTGGCAATGACTCAGTTTAGGTTGAAAGTGTTGTTCTCTGCATGAGCTGATTTTCCTAAAAAAAATACAAAAAGAATAGATTCGTGACCCCCATACTAAGGTATTGTAGTTCGCTTACGATTGCTCCTTCTATTCATGAAGCTGAATGGATGTGTTTAATTTAAAAAATTGTTTAATATAACTGTAGCTTTATTCAAAAAAACCTTTTACATAATACACAAGAGACATTATTTTTTACTGAGCATGCATACTTCAGTTTTGAAAGTGAAAGTTAATAGAAACAAAAACTGAAGAAGAAAAGCAGAGAAATTTTTTTTCAGATTACGCCGGTTTCATCAGAACAAGGAGCCCCTGTAAATTGGCAGGAATTTTCAACAGCATAACGCCACCTTTTCAGGCATTTCTTCCACTTCAATTGATCTAAAACAAAGCCACTCAACTGTGTTTTGGCATATTCAGACTCCATTAGTATAAACTATGTTGTCTGAAGACAACACCTCATCTTCAGAAAGAATACAATTCTAGAACGCCCATCCCGCATCAGAACAATCATATTTCAATCGAGTCGCAAAAAAATCGACCAGTTTCAGTGTTTTTTGAGAGCAAAAGGTAAAAGAGTCTTGATACCAAGTATTTCTTTAAGTTGTATATCAATAGTGAGCGTACAATTGCATCGCAGTGATTAGAAAGCGTTTTTTTATCGGACCTAACTTATTGTTCCGACTTTCGATACGAAAGTAACGGAATATTTGTGCTCGGGGTGGGTTTTTTTTTCTTCAGACAAATTTCGACTTTTTAACTAGCCATTTTTGACGGAATTTTTTTAATCGTTCGAAAGCCATTGTTGTCCTGAGCTTAAATTTGAAAAGATATTTTACCTGTGATCATTTTTCGTAAAGTTAGGAGGGTTTAAAGATTGCCATTTTGACCAATTTGGGACAATTAACGCACATATATTTCGCGCTATTAACGCGTAAGAGGAGATTTAATTCGTCTTAAAAATCGTTCCAAATTGTTTGAACGAAGTTTATTTGCCATAATTGATTTGTTACAAGGAACGAAATCTATCTTTTTGTACTTTTTATGGCGTGTGGGGGGATGATTTTCATAAAAAATTCAAATTTTAGAGAAAAAAAATTTTCATTTTATTTTATTTCATTTTATTTTTTATGTTATTACTGCTGCTCCATAAACCTTAAAAGGCAGTCGGAACATTCAGGGCTTCGCCCTGATACGAGCAGTCTTGTTCATGGTTTCTTATTGTTTCGGTGATATATATTTTGTTTTGTTTTTCGAGCATACTTATTGATGGTTTCTCTCGGTGGTGTATCAACCAGAAGTAGAAACCAGTTAATATATGAACCGGCAAAAAAACAGATTACCTAGTGCGCCACAAAACCAAACAAATTTCTATACAACTGGCTTCATTTTTTGTTGATAAATGCTTTGATTCCTTGCATCAGCAGCTGCTTCATACAAATTATTTTTATGTGCTACTTAATTCGCTGTACACAAAAAAGTCTTCATGGCAGAAACAAAAAGTGATCGTGTTTGCAGAAAAAAAAACACGTTATCAATTCTTTGCTTTAGTGACAACCATTGATTAATTTGAATAAGAAAATTATTTGTTTTTGTTGAAAATTGAAATTGCGCGTATGTTCCTTTCGTAGTCTTTTTTTTAACTAAATTTGCTTGTGTGAAAGTACACCTTTTTTGGTGCAAACATGAACATTTGTAAGAGTATGTAGTAGTAGTTGCAAAAAATACTTCAATACAATTTGTTTAACTTGCGACTGGTTCGTCAACTTTGCTTTTTTGTTTAGCTTGTACTTCGTCTCGTTATTCATTATCGGATCTCTACATATCTGCCGCCGACACAAAGGTGATTATTCGAGAGCTATTAAATGTGTAATAGCTTACATAACATCTTGCATAATTAATTCACTTATTACGCAAACTATTATGTCTATTATGATGATATTACTCCTTCGGTGAGTTGCATTAATTTAGTCTTTAGTCACGATAAAATTATGTAATCAAATTATGAAATCAAATTATGAAATTATGATAAAATTGTATAATCATAACATGCAAAACGGTTGATTTGGTACGATTGAGTCTCATGATCCTGTATTAGAAAAAAAAATACGAGATACAAAAAATGCGAGATGAGCAAAATTTGATAAATGGACGAATGGACCAAACAGCTCTAAACTGAAGAGCAGACAAGTCTGAAAAGCAAATGTTTCAGATTCATTAAAAGATTTTTTAAAAATACTTCCAGAATTATCAATCCATATGCCAGATATTAAAAAAGAACATTTTTCTTTAAGTAGGTCCAGATTCCATGCCGCAGACTTTTTTGCACGATTTCAAGCAGCCCAACTTACAAACATATATTTTTTTGTTAATTGCACAGGGTAGGTCAATTTAAAACCGGGCGGCATTCTACTGCTTCATAAAAAATTTTCTGCTATTATGAAATTTGATGCTATATGGGGTATTTTGTAGAGATTTTTTCGGAGTTGTAGAATTAAAACGCAAAATTTTTTCGCCTCCGAAATCCGAGAAAACTGGAGTTAATTGAGTGGTTTTGGCTGATAACGATCAAACCTGAAACAATTTTCTTCTTTCTGGATCATCCACTCTCAATTTTTTTACCTCCTTTATGTGCGTCTTTTCGACGCGAGCGAAGTAACTAGACAACTTCATATCTTTATTATGCTAACAAAAATTAAGATTGATCGTTTGATATTTTTTCATGTTAAATCTGATCACGCCAGACCAGTTTTTTTCAACATTACAAAATAGAAAAGATGTTTATATTTATTTACATATGTAAAAAGATGAAAAAAGCAGTTTTCTTTATGAACAAAATATGAGACAAGTTGTGGTTTGACGGTGCTAGTGCATATATCCGATTGTGCAAATATCCGAAACAACATAGTAATCTACAATCATACAAACTTACCTGAACTGCCCTTCGGATCTGATCACAAATTACCACCATTTATGGATGCTTAAACTTATCATATGGTTTTTCAGATGTTTTCCCAATTTTTCTAGATTCTAGTGTTCGCACTATCGACATTGTTCAAACCTGATTGAAAAAAGAATATCAAAAATTAATTCGCCAAAATAAAGAACTCATAATAAAGCAAAGACTAAGCAACTTACGTAATTTATAATACAAAAGATATAGATGCAGAACAAAAAAGCTTGATCTCTTAAATAAATACTCTCACTTGAGTTTCATACTGTTTTACTTTGCTTTGGTTGTTGTCTTAGTCAATCATTTTTTAACGGGTGACTCAACAATTTAAAAACAAAATATCTAGAAAACCATTCTACTTTAATAGAGAATACATTCAGCAGTTTATATTTCCGTCAAGAAAGATTCGGAAGGTAAGTAAATGCAAACCTGTCAAATAAGACGACAATTATTTTCCATTGGTACTTGTATAAAGCCTGTTTAGAACTATCTGAAACGGCGCAATTAATTTAGCCGCTTAAGTTTCAATTCTTGAGTGCCTCGTTTAGGAGAAATATATAGCCAATCAGAGATATGCAAATTCATTTAGCCTTCTTAACGTCTTCGCGTCGTTATGCCCCGACGTCTTATTTGTCTAGCTCCTCGTGAAGATTTCAATAGGGCGATACTTTAAACTTGGCATCTTTTAACTGGCATCTGATTTTTGGTTACAATTGTGATAGATTGGTCCCAAGAAACTAACAGGGTCCCTAAGATGCATTGCCTCCACATTTTTCACTTTAATGTTTCGGCGAGTCAATTGAAAGCATCAAATGAGTTTGCACAAATTAGACAGGTTATATAGTTATGAGAAGAGTCTAGGAAACAGCCGAGCGGATTTTATTGATAGATTCAATTGCTGTGTTATTTGTTTCGAGTCAGTGCTATGCGGGGCCCTCCCTCTCACAATTGATTTCTACAAAGATCTCTCTATCATCTTACTTGTACCAATTGTTAAGAAACAGAGCATTTTTTATGCTAAGAACCCCAAGCGATAAGTGGTCATCTTCAGGCAGTGAAGAGCGCAGTTTTAGAACAAAAGTCCGTTTTGTTTGGCCACACTTCCCAAAATTACTGAGCATTGGTAGCCAACGCCTCTAAATAAACAATTTGTTCCTTGATGCCGAATTTTTACATTCAATTTTAGCCCCTTTTAACATTCAATTTTTGCCCCTTTCAACAATTGTTCATGTGTTTTTTCCTATTTTAGGTAGATTTTTAATTCTCCCAGCTGCATTTCGAGATTTGATTCACAAGTGACTAAAATAAATATCTCGATATCATTAAATGGAAACCCCGTACGATGCTTCAATCAACACTTCGACATGCACTTTGCCACTTGATCAGGCCAATTCAAACCAAGCGAGTGAACAACTTCTGATCAAACCGGAGGAAGACTTCTCGGAGCATCAGGGCACTACTGCGAGTGGGGCGTCGGAGGGCTCCCAACCACAGGTAGAGACATACAGTCACTCCTCGCAATGTTGGGGGGACGATGCAGCTCTCCAGTCCGATGACAAGGAAAAGATCACATACCCCGCAGGTAGAGATTTTCGGTGAAATTTGCTCCAGAAATATCGCGTGCGCCAGTTTGAAATTTGTTTATCTGAAGCTTCGATTTGTTAATATGTCGATACGAATATGCTAAGCGACTGGTCTGCTTTATGGCATGGTTCCAACCTTACTGTATTCTATTGCTTGAAGAGTAGTTATGTTTACTTAAACGTCTCGATGTCCGTATAGGCAAACCAAAAAAGCCTATCGGACGCAACTGAAAAATCAAAAAAAACGGGCAAACAAATATTAAAAACTGCATAACTCACAAACCTGTTGCAAGTTGACCTTAATGTATTAAGCTGCATTTTTCAAAAAAAAGTTTTACGAGAGGAGATTGTTCGCTCAGCCAAGAAAAACGTTTTTGAAAGATTCTGGAGGAGACATCGTTCGCTCAATTTCCAAAAAATATATCTTTTCTGGTAAAATTCAGAAAACTCAACATCGTGTTGTGGTGGGTATTCTCACAAACTCACAAGTACCAAAATGATAAACCAGTCCCATTTGTACCAAAATAAAAAATCAATCGCATTACTACTGGTACTACTATGCTAGAGTGGTCCGTTGAAAATAACCAGGTCCCTTGAGAATAAGACACCTAGAGCTTTCAAATCGTTTAATAATTATGATTACGCCTTTCAGAAAGATATCGCAGTATATTTTCAAATAAATTTCACGTTTTTTTTGGTTTTGATGACAAATAAGTCAACCCAATTATATGGTTGTTAAACCGTAAAATAAAGTAAAGCGAGCAAATTTCAATATATAAACAATAGTGACTACAACAGTAGTGACTATCATAGTAGTACCTTACTACCAAAAAAATTCAATTGGCCTAAGACTATGAAGCCGACTACTTTAAGCTCTTGGTTTAAGTACAAAGCACTAGATTCGAAAGAAAAAAAATCAGATTTGGATGATAACCGGCTCTAATTTTTGTATAGAGTCCTACCCCCTGTTGGCAAGCTCGCAACACGTTGGCGTGACTGCGGTGGTCACTATTCTGCTGTTTAGTTTTCTTCTGTTTGAGCACTAGAAAATTAATGTAATAATTCGTTGGCTCACAATTCGACCGATCAGAAATCGAGTTGAATAATTTTGGTACAAATGGGACCAATTTTTCATTTTGGTACAAATGAACCTTGGTACAAATGGGACTTCACCCGTGTTGTCTTAATAAACTTAATAATCTGTCTTATATGTGTTTTTTTTTAGTTTGGATGCAATATCTAATCCCTTTTAAAATATTATCATTATATCAATTGTGCTATAAAACTATCAACGATTTGGGGGACTAGTGGAAAAAATGGGGGCGTTCAACAGTGCCGAAGTACAACAGTGCCGAAAAAGGCGGGAAATTTTCAGAATAATTTAAACGCATTTTCTAAAGAGCGAGAAATTACTGACGCTAATTATCAAAAAAATAAATCACTCAAATTTCGGCGCTAAAATGTCTGCAACTACAAATTAACCAATTATTTTGGCGCTAAAACGTCTAAATTGCAAATGTTCTCTCCCAAAATCTTTAAGTGCCACTTAAGTTTGTAAACGTTCGCCGTTTAATTTTTGATTGCCGCACTTAATATGTTGAAATTTGTTCATATTTTCGGCACTGCTGAACGAAATTTTTATTTTTGGCACTGTTGAACTAAATTTTTTTTCCTGTTGTACTTCGGCACTGTTGTACTGCCCCGAAAAATGGATCTACTTAACAATTGCCCTCCCTTTGGTAACTTAAGAATTGCCACCCCTATTAATAAAAGCAGTAAATTAGCGCTAGAGCTTTGTATTGAGACTTCTAATTTTGCTGCAATCTGATTGGTCGAAAATGCGTTAATTTAATCTACTTAAAAATCCCCCCTTTCTTAAAGGGGGGGTAATTGTTAAGTAGATCCGAAAAAACACCCAGGTTTAGGAAAAAGTTCTCGTGATCTCAAGAAGCTGCTCCGTTCGCGCACAATGCTTTCTTGGAATCATGACAACTACTTTCTACAACTTCGTCTTTTCTTTTAACCCCCCATATCTTCAATATTTTGCTACCAGCCAGGGGCGGATTTAGGGGGGGCGGAGCCCCCCCCCCCCCCCCCTCAGGGATTCGACCCCCTGCCGACCCAAAAGGTCCCCCCTTTGATACTTTTTCAGAAATCCCTTTTTGGCCGACCGACCCTAAAAATTTTCTAAAGGCGCCTTTGGCGCCAATATATACTAACTTTTTTGAGGAGGAGCGCGCGCTAAAAAAACGCGATTTTTTTGTCAAGCTTTTCAAAAAGTGCCCAAAAACGGCTTTTTTGACTGTTTTTTTTTTCAAAAATTTGCCTGCCAAAATAGGGGCAAAACAGTGCTTTGGGAGAGCTCGAAAAATCAATTTGGTTGACCTAAAAAAAAGGTCGTCAAAATTTTCGAACTTTTTTTGAAAATCTGCCCCCCCTCGAGAAAATCCTAGATCCGCCCCTGCTACCAGCAATGAAAGTCTGATGATCTTATATGATAAACAATATTTAAACCCTTCAAGTAGTAATGAGAGCTGCGATGAAAAATTCCCATTAGGTTTTCTCGTTATCGAGAAAAACCCATTTGACATTTTCCATGCTATCAGCTATTTTTGCATGAAAAAAGCAAAAAAAAACTTGAAAATCATGTTTTTTTGGCGACAACATCACTGATCGGATACTCTTCTTAGTTCTATATCAAACCGGCCATTCTCGTTATGATTTTATCGTTGGTTGATTTAAATCAAGGATCTTATTTCTGGTTGACTTAAATCAAAAATACTATTGGCAGCAGGTTTTTTGAATTTGTTTGACTGTTATACTTAATGTTACATGCAAAAAAGATATCCCGCACTTTTCACAAGTGATAAAATAATAAGTCTTTCTTTTTTATTTATTCATATATTCAAACTCACACTTGGAGCATGAATTTAGGTCGAAATTTTAAACAACTTTTTATTAGCATGAAGAATAGAACAAGAATTACAATTGAAGTTGGTTTAAAATAGCGAATGCTTCGAATTAATAACAACTGCAAACAATGTCGCGCTACTCTTCAGATAGCAGATTTTCTGTTTCTGTGATAAATGCTGAAAATAACTTGTTATTATCATTCTTGCCCGATAACAATCAAACTCAAGTAGGTAAGTAAAAGTTATCTCAAACCCCATTTTTTTGTTCTAAGAGCCCATGTCATTGTTTTTTTATTAGTCCAAAAACAAAGCTCCGAGAACTGGATATTTCCGCCATTGCAATATGGTTTTAAATTGTTACTATCCATTCGATTTTTTCCAACTGTTTAGATGTCAAGCATGGAAAGTCGGATGAAACTCCTGACTGTCCTATTACGGAGAAATACGACGAGATCCACTCTATCTTAGAAGATGTTGGCGGCCTGGGACCTTGGCAATTTTTCATCGCAGGGGTCAACATGCTGATGACAATCATAGCTGGCATTCACACCAACGCCTACCCTCTTCTGGTTGGAAGCAGCAACAGCTGGCGCTACGCTTGCAAGTCGGTGAATGATTCCAACTTCACGATTGATGCCGGAATCCAGGAGTGCGGCGTCCAGGTCCAAGATGACAGTCATCCCTCTGGGTTCTCTCGTGTTGATTGCTCTGAAGCCGAGGGCTTCCACATGGTGTACTCGCACGACCACTTTGAGACGACTGTTACTACTGAGTTTGACTTGATGTGCGGCTATGGATCGTATTTAGTGCCTCTTGTTCACTCCTCGTTCACTATCGGATGTTTCTTCGGCGTCCTGATCTTCGGCTACTTGGCCGACTGTTTCGGTCGCAAAACGGTTTTGTATTTTGGGGTTCCGATTGCTATTGCTCTCAACTTTTCACTGGCCCTAGCACCAAACGTTTTTATCTTTTTAGCCATCAGACTCTTACAGGGAACTGCGGTGTTTGGCATTTTTACCATTCTCTACGTCATCGCCATGGAGACCACACTTCCCAGACGCCGTGCGGCTATCGGCAACATAGTGCACATTCCGTGGGGACTGCAGTTCATCACAGTGTCCCTGATCGCCATGTGGATCAAAGAGTGGAGGATGCAACAGCTGGTCTACTCAGTGCCCGCCTTCCTTTGTCTCATCTGTCTCACCCCCCTCATGCCCGAGTCCCCCCGCTGGCTGGCAATCAATGGCAAGACAGAACAAGCCACCAAGGTACCATTTAACCCGCTATGTTTACTCAAGCGAGGGGAGCTACTAATACCCAATCCCAGCAGCAGTCGAGATAAAATTACAAAATTTGACCGTTTCTTTTTGATGTGTTCTTATTAAACTCTACCTCAGATAAGAATTGCAGTTTATCCTTAGTAGTTTACAACTGATCCTTAGTAAAAAGCAAATGGCTTCTGAGTTTTTTTTTGAAGCCATAAAAACTCAAAAATTTCATTTATAACCAAACGCACACCAAATTGTACAATTTTTTGCACGCCTTTTTTGGTACAGTTTAGACAGCTGTTAAAGCTGTTCTCTTATGGTAAAATAAAACAAGAAATAGAAGGCAATAAGCAAGCAGTAAAAAGAAGCTGCAGAATGAGAATAAGTAACTCTCTCAACCTCTAGAATTTTTTATTTATCAGCATTGTTTTTTGTTTCATCAGGTTTTCATGAAGGCCGCAAAATGGAACCGAAGAAGCAACAAAGTGACCGAAAAGTCTATCAACGATAGAGTTGAGAACTTCTATGAGACCTCAAAGGCCGCAGAGCCCAAGGGTGCCAACTCCAAATTGACCCTCTACATGGGCTTGATCCGGACTCCCGAAATGAGACGCCGGTTCCTCCTCTCAACAGTAGTCTGGTTCCAAATAGCTTTCGTCAATCACGGGTACAACATATATGCCCCCACCTTAGCCAAGAATCCCTACTTCGCTTACTGCCTGGTGGGTGTCATAGAAACACTCTCACCTTGCTGCGGGGCTTTTTTGTTCACATTCGGGCGCCGCAAACCCTTAGTCGCTATCTTCATCATGACTGGCCTGTTGTCCATGTCACTCATCCCGGTCTTCAAAATCTGGCCAGAAAACTACCAGACGCAAATTTTGGTCCTCGTCTTGGCAGTCTCATTCCTATCGGACATGGCGTTCAACGGGATATATGTGCACGTCTCGGAGTTCATGCCGACAACTCACCGAAGCATCGGTCTCGGAAGCTGCTCGTCCATCGCCCGAATCGGTTCATCTCTCTGCTCGGGAGTCGTTCAAACCGCGAGCACATACCCGACTTTGCCACCCGCTATCTTCGGAGTGCTCTCGCTCGCAGGCGCCTTCTGCAATTTCTTTTTGCCGGTGACTGAAAATAAAGAGCTTCCAGAGACTGTGACTCAGATTGAAGACGAGGCTGCTCGATTAGCTAAGGTCCCTGTGGGGAAATTTAGCAACGATGATAAAGGAACAAATGCTTGAAACATAAAAGGCCAATTGCTGAGCTTTTCAAGCCTTCTACAACACTAAACTCACATATGGAATGGGAGACTTATGATGATATATGGGTTTTGTAAAGAAAAATGTCATTTTGTATGATATTTTTTGTATCATATGAACTAACTGATTTTGTTTCATCGCTTGTTTGTCAGTTTCTATAAAGAAAACCGATATTGTTATACTCTCATGAATTGATTTTTTATCGTAACAAGCGACATCGATCTATTTCTTTTCAAATTTAGTTTTCTATAAGGGTGTGCCGTTTTTATAACATTTATAATGTTTTCCCGTAATTCTTTGCCAAAATTTTACTCCAAAAAATGGTCATTCTGGCTTTTTTGGTAATTTATCAAGAATCAGGCTGAAACTAACAAGTTATTTGATGAAACATTTATATCAGAAGAATCCTCTTGCACAGTTCATTAACAATCTAGAAGAAAAAAAACTCCCAAAAATCTGTACAAGAGAACATATTTGTGGTCATTTTGTTCTAAAAAATAACACAATTTACGCAAAAATTTGGAAGTTTTTCTCTTCTAGAACTTAGTTTAGCTGTGAAAGAGGCTTTTAAAAAAATTTTTTATCAAATAACTTGGGAATTATATCGTTGATCTTGATAAATTAAAATAGCCAGAATGACCCATTTTCGTGGTAAACTTATGTTTGAGAGTTTTGGGGAAAACTTGCACTATACCCAATCAGGTGAAATCCGAAGCCACTTTTGCTTTCTTCACTGTTTGTTTATTAACCCATTTTGAGAAAAACGCATATTTTTTATACATGCCTCATGTTCCATGGCATATTTTTTTATTTATTATTAGAGATTAAGTAACGCTGCGCACCATTACAATAATAGTTTTCAGGCTATGCTTTCAACCTCTCCCTCGCTTTTTATGATACTCCAAGAATTTGTGAAAACTCTACCTTAACCCGACAAAAACTTTAAATCAGCAAAATCTTTCCGCCCGGTATTGATCCCAAGACCGGCTGTGAAACTTTTGGAAGTCCTAGCCCTTCCAAACAAACTCGCGGCTCATCTACCAAAAACCCACCACTAAAACGGTTTTAAACCTTTCCATTCCACTAATACAGCCCTGTCTAAATTAGAGTTTTTTTTATGGCAGATGGCTTTAACCACAGAAGCACAACAAAATGAACAGAACTAGCCACACTTGACATGTCGCAAACCTTCGACATAAAAGACCAACGTACTCAAGTCAAAATACTGCACATATCCAGCTTACCCGCAGGTATAGTCAGATGATTCTCAAAATAAGTTTAAATATCTAAGAGGGCGCCAATCACAGACCTTGTTCAAAAACCAACTATCGACAACCAGGTTGGGCAGACGGGTTTTTCAAAGGTCAATACTTTTCCTCACTTTTTTGCACTTTAACGAACACGAAGCTCCTTTCAGTAATGTCGTCGAGGCGTACCACATTTTAAATAACTACTTAATCTAGCTCCATGATTTTGTAGAAGCAAGTCAACGTTAATGTGCTGGTGACGTCCAAAGCCTAAATCAGACCAATAATCAATTTTTCATGCCCTGTTGATCCCACGCTACGATAAATTTCTTGAACAAATAACAAACCGTTCAAAACTAGGCTCTCCGTGTCGAGTAAATGTGGTGAATATGAGCTCCATAGATCACCAACACACTGAGTGCAAACTACTTTTCGTGCAAACGCCCCATAAACTCCTTTATTCACAATTTTTTTCTGAAAACACTTTCAATTTTTTTACTTTCAATTTTATTCTAGGTCTTTGTTCCCTTCTATACAAATTAAACCTAACTTTAAATCAATTTTGAAAAAGAGTTTTTCCAATTAGGTTCCATGAGCAAAGATTTTGCCACCTTAAAGGATAACACAGACCGAAGCAACTTCGTTTTTCATCTAATTAAAAAAAAAACAGAATTGAAAAAGGATCCTCGCAAGTAATGTAATTTACCCAATTAGTGATGCGCCTACGGCAAAGTCTCCCGCTACGTGCATCTGATATTTCTTCGAATGAGGAACTGCTCCACCGCTCAATTAGAAGCAAGTTACCGCAGCTCTGATACGGCCACTCTTACTACCCTAATTCTTTCCAACTGCCCCTCAAAGCGGAATGAACTCCAAGAGATCTGTGACTACGATCGTTCAAAGTAGAAAAGTTCCTTAGACTATCAATTTTCTGGTTGCGCTAAAATTAATATTATTTAGGACCTCCAAGGACCTCAAAAGCACCATTACGTGTTTAAAGAGATTTTTTAAATCAAGTTTTAATGATAAAAATAAATAAAATATGACACAGCGAAGAAATAAGTATTGAGCTGATTCAAGTCAAAACTGATGGCAAACAGAAGTTGCACTAACAGATGGTTTAATTTTTGTATGATTTTTGACTAAGAGGCGAAGCAAAGTTTTGCACCACTTGCGATGCAACACGATCTTAAACTTAGGACCAAATAATTAAAAATGATGAAAAAATTAGGTGAACCAAAATTTTTACATATCGATCGATGAAGGACACCTAGAGCCCAGCTAAAATGTGTTTGATATGATTTGAATTTGTTATACTGATGCGTGACAAAACGCGTATTTTCAATAATTGGACTTTGCCCAAACCATTAGTTGTTTCTCTACTAAAAAAAGTGAGAAGGGAGAAAACTTTTGAGATTTTGGAATTTTCCCAAGACAACCTTTTTCTTACAAAGAATTAATGAGCAGCCTCCTTTGCAGGAAAAAAATAACACAACCGCTCCTTTCGATTGAAATTTTCATCTCAGATTTGATAGGGTAGTTTTTAAGAAATTCAAAAAGTTTCTACAAAAACGGTCAAAGTTCAAAAAGTTGACTTTCTTAAAACAGTAAAAAATTTTGCTAAAAGCAGGTCGTGTCTAGTGAAGCAGAGAAGATTACCAGAATCAGACTTCCTGATTGAACACATGACCTAAGAATTTGCACGGTACTTTTCGAGTAGAAATGAACAAATTCCAAAAGAAATGATCAAAGTTTCAAAACTTTAATTTGTTTGAAGGCGATATTTTTTTGCAAAAAAATGTGCATAACAAATTATGAAGGTAAGATTCCAAGAACCTATTGAGATGATTACACCTAAGATACCAGATTTGGCGGGATAATTATCGAGAAAAGTCCAAAAAACGATCAACAAATCAGAAAGTTGACATTTCCGAGAATCAAAACTTTTTATTTCACAAAACGTGGAGGTAGCCGCTTATGCTTATTCACCCAATCTGTATTTTCGATTGAACCCAAAAACCCAGAATTGGCAGTGTAGCTCACGAGAAAAATCAAAAAGTTTCAAAAACTATCAAAAATTAAATTTTGGACTTTTCCGAGGGACATAATTTTTTGGGGCCAAGAAATTGGAAAGGAGCTTCCCACAACCCATTCTGTGGGTTGAATCAAAAACTTCAGATACGGGAGGGTATTTTTCGGTATAATTCATACTTTTTTGGAAAAAAAAACGCTCAAAATTTAACTTTTCCGAGGACGATAACTTTTTATGTATATGCAGGAAAGATTCCACTACCAGCTATCTCCATTGAGCTCACAGCCTCAGGTTTGGGAAGCAAATTTTTGAGAAACGTCTAAAAGATTCAAACATGGTCAAAAAATCACAAAAAATCACATAGCCACTTATGGAGCGGAGCTTTTCGAATTCGTTTAATTCATTGAAACCAGCATCTCAGATTTGGTAAATTAGTTTTTGAGTAAAATATTTTGGCCAGATATTCCCCCCAGACTTTTTCGAAGGCTGTAGAATAGAGGCTCAGCCAAAGCTGGAGGTACCTATTGGATAATGTTTTAATTTGTTGTACTGATGCGGTATGAAGTAACTAATTGCAAAAACTTAAAAGTTGGTCTTCACCCAAAACCTTAGTTGTTGCTCTAACAAAATATGAAAAACTTTTTTGTGATTTTGGAATTTTCTCCGAGACATTATGTTTTTTTCTACAAAACTAAAGGCGTAGCATATTAAGCACGGAGGCTTCCCACAAGCTGTTGCTTCGATTAAACCCTTGATATCAGATTGAGATGTTTTCGAGAAGTCAAGAAATCAAAACATTGACTTTTCTGAAAGACATTAAAAATTTTTTACGAGAACACTTACATAGCGGAGCTAAGCTGAACCCATTCTTTTTTTAAATGAACCCAAAATCTGAGATTTGGGATGTTAGTATTCTAGACATTAAAAAACTACGAAAAACGGTAAAAAAAATGAAAATTTGACTTCTCCGAGTCAAATTTACACAAGTTTTTTACACAAGTTTTTGTGTAAAAAATTGGACGCAACTGTTTATGCAGAAAAACTTCCCACAACTCGTTCTACCCATTAAAACTAAAGTCTCAGATTTGGTAGGCTGCTGTCGAGAAATGTCAAAAAGTTTTAAAAAAGGTGAAAAAAATCAAAAATTTGACTTTTTTTGAGCCATAACTTTTCAGTAGAAAAATTTGGAGGGTAGATTTCAAGAAAATGTACAGAATCAAGAAATATTACAAAATCCAAGAAAATGTACAACAATCCCCCACAAACAATTTCGAAGGCTGCAGAAAATGGGAAAATTGGAAACAGACTGGGGAATTATGCAGGCACACAGGGTAGTGGGCAGACTTGCCATTGGTACCACTTTTTTGAAAATCTGTTGAGTAGTTTTTGGGAAAAACTGAATTTTTTGAAAATAGTGAAAACATTTTCCAAAGAATCTCGAAAAAAAACCGATCCCACACGTTTTCTTATTACCTGTTTTTATCAAACAGAAACAAAGGGTAAGTAAAAACGACCAGAGGAGAATGCAAGCACACAAAAATGTAGGCGATCTTTCTATGGATACCGTTTCCATGAAAATCGGTAGAAGGGTTTTTGAGAAAAACTATTGTTTTTTATACAAAAAGTGATTTAACTTTCCAAAGCGTCCGAATAAATAACCCAATACCATACTTTCATGTTACCTGTTTTTATCAAACAGGAATTTTAGGCAAACATGCCAAGCAAGACATTTGAATGAAATTCAAATTAACAACTGAAAAAAAATTGGGAAGCGGAAACAAGGCCGACAATCTTTGAGCAGACACCAGTTGAGCAGAAAAAAACTTATTTTGTAAAAAAAATTTCCCTGAAACTAGTACCCACTCAGTAGTTAAATTTGAATTTTCATGAAGTTGAGCATGCCAGCTGCATAGCGTGTCTGAAATGCGCAAA